TCAGACAGTCTGATGTCAGCAGGGAGGAAAAGGCTCTGCAGCTAGCAGACGTCTCTTTAACTCTGGAGACAGACAGGAGCCCTGAACTCTGAGAACGCAGAACACAAGGCGGAACTTCAGGTTTCAGACAGGTGTGGAGGAGCGAGCCCATTTAGAACTTTGTAAGTCTTTAAAAGCAGCTTATGCGGACACACGACGTCTCGGAGTAGCTGGAAACTGAGACTGCTTACCTTTGTTTCTCTGATAACTTATGAAGCAGACGTTCAGCAGGTTTTTACCAGCAGCTGAATTCTGCACAGAGGTGTCCTCCTCTCTTCAGTGACACAGGACAGGACGTCTCCAGCAGCTGGGAGCTGAGCTGTCTAACATTTCCTCAGCTTGTTTCTCTGATAACTTCAGATCCAGACGTCCGACGACTAAAATCCTTCATCTGGTTCAAATATAGAGCTGAAAACCACCAAGGTGGAAAAAGTGTATGTGGCTTAAAACTAGATAAAAGTCAATGTTGAGCTTCTGTCAGACAAACACACTGACACATGATCATAGAGGATATGATGTCTTGTTTAACGTGGGAAAGTTTCAGATATATATTCCCAATTGCTCCTATTTTCAGGCTCTAAAGGAACTCTGCAGGAACAAACCACCATGTTAAAACAACAGGACACGGCATCTTTGTCAGTGCTGTCGGCTACGTCATCGGCCTGGACACAAACCTCACTGGTGTTTTCAGGCTTCATTCTTCCGTCAGTTGTATATAAACAACAGAGCCACGTTAACATATGCTGACCTCACCTGTTTTATCTCTTCAGGTACCTCTGTATTCTGACACCAGGCTTGCAGTGAAGCCCCAGCCCAAGCCTCGACACATCCACCTCATCAGTGCAGACCAGTCCATCATGGAGATGCAGAGAACCTACCCTGACCTGGCCTTCAGGGGCCGGCCCCTGGTGCCAGACAAACCTCACCCAGCAAACGGCAGCAGGAGCAGCAGTAAAGCTGTCCACACTGTCGGTCATCATTACAGCGATGATAGTAAAGATGCGGAGCTCTCCAAAAGAGACACCAGAGCTGCTGCTACAGCTGTCTGCAGTAACAGTGATGGAAGTAAAGCTGGGGAGGTGTTGGGTGACAGTGTCAGAAGTAGTGGTTGTAGTGACAGGAACAGTGGTGGGACCTCCACCCCCGCAAACCCCACGAGCAGCAGCTTCATTAACACTGATGATGATGAGTTCAGCGGCCCTCAGGCCATTTCCCTTCACATCACACTGAGAGCTGGAGCCAAGGCAGAGCAGGACCAGAGGCCTGGAGAGTCTCAGCCTACAGCAGGGCCTCAGCAGGCTGCAGCAGGTAACACACACACACACACACACACACACACACACACACACACACACCACACACAAACACACACACACTTCCATAATATCAGTCCCTTTGAAATGTTGTTTTCTTCTGGCCCAGTATATGTCTCATTTCACAGCCTGTATCTGGCCATTATTCAGCATGATAGTCAGACACCACTTCCACATCTGAACCAATTCTGGCACACACACAGAAAATCTTGCAGCTGTCAGACAATACCTGAGGATGTGGAAGTGGAAGTATATGGGCCAGACTCGGGCCGTAGCTGTATATTGGCCCAGAGGTTTTTACTTCGCTATGTAGGTTACTAATATTAGAATGACAACACAGCAGACAGTGTGATGATGTTCTGAAGACTTTGTCATCAGCCAATATAAACTATTTTTCTTTCATAAATCTCCCCTGTCACCTGCTGACTGCTATGCTGGCCATCATTGTTCTTTTAATGCCCAGTGGGTTTTATGTGTGGACTAAAATCCACTGCGAAAAACATCAATCAAAACATTACATACATATCTGAAGTACATCAGAACATGTGTTTATGTAGAACATTTCAAATAAATTCTGCACAGCAGAAAACGCCATTAGAACCATTAGAAGTGAGCACAATAATCGCATGTGTAATGGATAAAAGAGCCTGACAGAAACATTTGTCAGCAAATGAAATACCTGACAGATCAAGCTGAAAGAATATGGTCTTGAAAAATCAGATTTTTACAGATATCTCCATTTTAAACACAATGTTAGAAATAAAACTTACACCAGTGATCCAGTATTGAGAGTATTTATTGATGCTTATGAAAATGATTCTAACAAGGTGTTATCTCTGCTCTTTATAAAGGCCTTATGCCTGTATGTGTGTAAACTTATTACACAGTAATACACAGTATGTTTGGCTATTTGGATTTCTGCTTGTGAAAAAGCGCTCACAAGGCGCTGGTTACTTCCTGAACCCCCAGCGATACAGGAGCGGATAGATACAGTAGATGACATGTATGTCATGGAAAAAATGACCTGAAGAAAACTGAATTTATTAAACTATGGACCAAGTGGATCAAATATGTAATAAGCCCTATTAAGTATTGAATGATTGACCCTGTAATGTTATTTTACTCCGATCTCATATATATTTTATTTAGTTTTATTATATTTCCTTCCAAACCCCCCTCAAACATACTTTCCACTGTGTTTGTGTGTGCACTTTACTTCTCCTGAACTCTACAAAAGTCTACAGAGGTGGACAAAGTCCACAGCTCCGTCAGAGTAGATCCTCCTGGTCAAACATTGCTCCAATACACGTGAAAGTTGTTCAGTCAGACTTTTATTTGAGTTAAAGTACCGGAGTACTTGATTTTAAAATACTGTACTGTATTCAAAAGTATTTTTTTTTATGTCAACACATTGTTGTATTGTTTCACATTTACAGAACCTAATGACTCTGAAACAACCTGCTGACTGACAGACTGACTGACTCACTGACTGACTGACTGACTGACTTACTGACTGACTGACTCACTGACTGACTGATGGACTGACTGTAGAACCTGTAGAATAAACAACTTGCAGGATGTGATACAAAGACTGTAGAAATGAACATGAAAACACAACTGAATCAGGAAAACAGCCAACTACAAGCTGTTTATCTGGAATTAATGCTTTCTAAAGTTGGATTTCAAACTTTTGGAGGTAGTGACGGAGTTTGGTCGTGGTAAACACAGCAAACATTTCAAATGAAAGGAATCTTTATTTAATTAAAAAATTTCAAAAATGGACTTGAAGAATCTTCTGCCTCATCTTTATCTAACATCTCCATGGTTAGGACACTGACAGGTTCACACATGACTGACAGTGGAGGAGTTGGCTGTGATTGGTTTTTCTCCTGTGGTGAACACAGTGTATGGTCTATCACATTTTCCAAAACAGAATAAAGTTCATTTAACTGACTAAAAGCTCTGATTCATAGAAATGTAGTGGAGTCAAAAGAATAATATTTGTCTGTAAGTGTAGTAGAGTAAGAGTAAAAAAGAATACTCAAGTAGAGTACAGGTGTTTGAAAAATAAACTTAATTACAGTACTCAAGTAAAAGTACTTTGTTACTGTCCACCCTGATGTCTTGTAATATAAACAGCTGCCCCCAAAATCAAGAATTTAAAAAAGAAGACAAATATTCAAAGGACACCACAGTGTCACCACCTGTGGACACCACAGTTTCCACAGTGCCACAGTGGAAACTGTGGCAAAATATCTGACTGTTGTCTAATAGAACACCCCTCATCTTCATGATGTTACATTACTGACCCTCTAACACTCCAGAGGTCACCCCTCCTCCGTACTTCGTATGATGAACGTATGTTTCATGTTCTCATGTTTTGTTACTTGCTGTAGTGAAAATAAATTGCACCCAGCAGTTTACATATGAAACTGATTTCCACAGGTGAACACAACAAGAGGCCAACCCAACCAGAGCCTTCCTCTCTGATCACCGAGGATGATGAGGAGGATCTGAGAGGGCTGGCAGAGAGGATGGGCCAGCTCCGTGTGCAGGAGCACAAACAAAAGGAGCTGAGGAGAAGAGGAGAGAACAGGAGAAGAGAGGACAGCACGAATAAAGAGAGGAGGAAGAAAGAAAGAAAGGTGAGCACAGAGGGAGAGGCAGAGGAGCAGAAGCTCAGGAAGCCGGTGATGGAGACGGGTCCAGCACTGAACCATGAGGCCAGCAGGTGCACCGGATCCTCTCAGCCTGATCCTGCAGCCATGAAGGAGCAGAAGCCGTCCACTGTGACAGACTGTGAGAGCTGTGAAGGAGGAGGCAGCACGGGGCAGCAGGAGGGAGGAGATCCTGGCCCGGAGGAGGAGGAGGAGCAGCCTCCACAGAGCTTTGTCATTGTCTAACATCACAGGAAATTCTTTCATTTCATTTGTGTCAATGTATGGTCTTTCCTAATGATGTGCACTCTGCATCACGCTCATTTCTTTTTCACTGTTCAAGGCCCTTAATCTATTTTATCATATTAACTGCAGGTATATTTAAATGCATTGTTGTAATAGCGGTGGATGAGAAAACAGCATTTTGTGTTTCTCTACTGACCAGAATTGCAAAACTGTTTACTCCAGTACACATATTTATTCACTTGAATTTGAAAGTGGTCTCAGACTTTTGGAGTCCACTGTATTTGGTGTTAGTCTGTGTATCAGAACACCTGTCAGACTAAATAAAAGGTTCACATTTGTGATTAAAATTTTTGACTTTGGTGTGGTAACCCTTTTATTTACTTTAATTTATATTGTTATACTATTTTAATCAGCCTGTAAATTCTGTAAATCAATTCACAAAGCTGATGGAGCAGATTAGATCATACTTAAAGTCTCTCTCCAGACATGTTTTGAACTCCTCTTCCTCTGCTATATTTAGCCCCGCCCCTCCCATCCCCACGAGTTGACAGGATTGGTTCCTTAGGTTTGTGACGTATGAAACCCTGGCTGTCTGAATCTGTGTTTATGAGACTGTCATTGGTTCACTGCAGTTCAAGGTGGAAACACTCAGTCATGGTGCTGATGATTATTTCACTCTTCATGTCTTGTATTATATAAAAACAGCATATGGATGTTAACAAGGTTAAACACTTGATTTTCATCAGAGGGTCTTTAAAAACACAAACTCAGGATTTCAGAGTAAACTTTTTATTCTGTAAAGTAAGAGCAAAGATTAAATTAAGATTAAATTATATTAATGACCTACACATTATCACCAGCTCCCAAACGCACCTATAGTATATGAACTCATGTGTTCTGTAACTGTGGTTGCTCCTGCTTTCACCACATCAGGTTTAAAATACAAATGTAAACTTCACTTGACATCACATAGTGACATTTGAGCAGACTAATAAAAAGCAACAGAACAAAAGGCACACAAACAGAATGAATCAGTTTAACACCTCCATCTGAGCAGCAACAAGAACTTTCTCTGGTGTTTCACAGAGACACTGAGGCTTAGTGGAATGTTTCAGTTGTAGTCAGTTGTTGAAGTTAGTTCTGTTTCTGTAGGTGAGAAAACGTTTCATATGTGATGTTGGTGAGAACATGTCATTAAAAACTAATGAAAACGAGCCTCTATGACCACAGTTTGCAGAGTTTTCAAATGGCTAAAACAGAAGCGTAAAGAAGCAGCTGTAGTTTCTGTACCTTTCTTTCTGTAGTACAGAAAACCATGTAACCAAGTAAATGTAACAGATCAGTTATATGATATGTATGTATGTATATCAGACGCTGCTAGTAGCAAGGATCTTTTCACGGTTTTTTTCGTACTGGTGCAGCATCTTCTGGAGGTCGTGGTCAGCAGGAATCACCTGCACACACACACACACACACACACAGACACACACACACACACACACACAGACACACACACAGACACACACACAGACACACACACACACACACACAATTTGGACACAGATTGGTGATTGCTGAAGGAAACAAAAAAAGAACAGATTGACAGGTCCCTGATATCTGGACAGGTAATATTATCACCTGAAGACTGGGGAGAGAGTGGAAGCACACCACGTTGCAGCTTAAAGGTACAATATGTCATTTTCTGCCACTATAGTCCCTTTTCCACTGGTCAAAAACCCGCTTTAAACACGGGTAAACCTGAAAAATAAAAGCTGATCGACCCATTTTTCACTGTCAGTTGAGTTTGTCTTTCTGTTTTGACTGAGGACACAGACAACTGCAATGACTGGTGTCATCACATGCTCTTACAGAGCATACACACACACAGACACAGTGGAGAGAGAGTGAGCTGCTAGCTGCTGTGTAAACTGGTAAATCAGATCCGTCTCGTCTCATCCCCGTGCTGCACAGGTGACAGGTGTGTTTGGTGTTTGAGCTCTGAAAGACGTTACAGCAGACGAAAGGGTTCACAAGGCCAAAATCATGTTTTGTGAGGTCATCGTGACCTTTGACCACCAAAATCGAATTAGTTTGTCCTCGAGTCCAGGTGAATGGTTGAACCAAGTTTAAAGAAGTTCCATCAAGGCGTTACTGAGTTATTGCGTCGACGAGAATGGGACAGATGTACGGACTTGATTAAAATCATGGATTTCTGTAAGTTTGAAAATTGGTGGAAACGTTTGGAACAATGTAAGAAAACAACTCATCAAAATATAGAACATAGGTCTAGTCATTATTAGACATATTAATCCAGAAAGGATACATATTATAACTTTAAGTGTGCCAAGTCAATGAGGGTTATTAATGTGGCCACCTGAAACTAAAAGACCTACTCAAACCAAAGCAGAGAGAAGAGTCACTCACCAGAACAGGAGCAGGGAGAGAGGCCAAGGTCTGCTTGATGAGCCAGTCCTCATGCAGCTGGTGCAGAGACTCCAGATATTCCTGGTGCGCACACGCACGCACACACACGCACACACACGCACACACACACACACACACACACACACACACACAGAGAATGTTATAAATACTGACCCATTCATTTCCCTTTAAGTTGACTGACAGTTTGTCTGTGAAGTGAAAGTAAATGTTTTGGCCTCCTCACCAGTGGAATGACTTTCTCCTCCTCTCTGCATCTCTGCTTTAACCTCTCATGGCAGGTCTGAGGAGACGTCTGCAGGTAGACTAGAGCCAGAGGAAAAGTCTCATCAACAAGCTGCTGCAGCTTTGAACATGATTATTAACAGTCAAGACAGTCCATCACACTTTCATGTGTGACTGGTGGGATATCTGGTTCCCTGGTAACTGATGGGGGATGATAATGACTTCTTCTGTGGGTCATGACCTGCTGCATGTTTTGCAGCTCCTGTCACTGGAGTGTGTTCAGACAATAGATTCAGCTTTACTGTGACAGAGTCTGGGTGTTTTCACACTGAGTCATCTTCTGCTTGATGATAAAAGGTCGACTGTGAGGAGCAACACTGATGCAAATTCACCAGCCAGAGTGAACCTTGAAATCTAATCTACTGTATCACATGTGACCTCTTGGACCCATACCCTAACAGGAAGTCAGCCATTTTGAATTTACTCTGCAATTTTGGTGCCACTTTTGTGATTTAAGGACATCACACTTTAACAAACTCCTCCTAGAGAACTGATCAGATCGAAAATTATATTTGGTCAGTCTCATCTTAACACCTTCCCTATGTTAAATTGAGAAGCTTGTGAGTGTTTGTTGCCAACCTGTCCGTGGAGGCCTGGCAAATTTCCATGTTTCGCCATGAAACAGGAAGTTGTTATAATATATGCATTGTCCAAACCGAGCCAAGCTTTATATGTTTGATAAGAGTCCCGGCCTGAACACATGCAAACGTCAATATTCAGTGATAGTCATAGTGCCAGGAAATGTCATGTGATATCTTCTTCCTTGCAGACTGTCCCCACCCACTTCAAACTTGGTCAGAATATGCTTAAGACTCATTGATGCCTCAATGTGAAATACATATAATATGTATAATATACATTGTCCAATCTGCTCCAAACTTCACGTTTTATCACAGTCCCACACTGAAAACATCTGAACGCTAACTGGAGTCATGACCATAGCGCCACCTACCGAAAACAGGAAGTATCCGTTGAGTAACAATCGTCCATCTTTTACATGAAATTTTCACAGTCTGGTTTACACTTGATATACAGGGATGTGATGCATGTTGGAGGCGTCAAGTGAGGTGTGCAACAGGGCGAGGGCCCGTGTATCGCTGCTTGCTGCTTTAATTTGAACTAGGACTCACACTTACAGTGATTCCTGCTAAAACATTTTGGCACTATTTACTATAAGAACTGACATCACTGTCAACCAGTGAAGGCAACAGGAAACACACACTTGTTGTGAAACCAGCTTGGAGGCTGAGCGCACACACATATTCTGGAACTGCACAAAGAGAAGGCTGTATTTGGAAAATGTTATTGCAGTTGTTAAAAATATTTTGGGATATGAAATTCCAAATACTTGTCCAGTGATGCATCTTGGGAACATTAAAGGTGCTGAGATGAGAGAAGATCTCTACCTGACCACGGTTAAGGAATATAAGGCATCTTCATCATGGAAAAGTTGACATATCTTTTGATTCTCAGAGAGAATACGTTGTGAAAAATGGTCAATTTATATGAGACACAGACTAAATGATGCCTAATTAAAATAGTTGTATGAATATCGAAATGAATATTGAAACAACTCCAAAGTTATTTTATTTTGTATTTGGTTATATATATGTGTCATTCTGTTACGTTCTTGATCTGCTGTTCTGTCTATATTCTTGTGAAGATGAGATTTACATAATCAGGTAACATGAAGACGAAGATGGAGGCAGCAGGTGTGACGAGACAAACACCTCCACTCTCTACCGTACAGATGGATACTAATCATCAGTCCTCACAGTATCATATCATTATATTCTCAACCTTTCAACGAGTGAACACTACAGCCACTGTTTTTCTTGTCTTGATCATGTTTATTGAATGTGTGTTTGTGTTTGTGCTTTGTGTTATTCTCACCAATCAGATCGACAGGAATGGAAATGTTAGCTGTGATCCAATCAAACCACTCGCTCAGAACAGCGTAGTCCACCTCTGGCATTTTCCCACTGAAAAAAAAAAAAGAGTCAGCTGTCAGCACGCCGTCTGGGTCGTCAGTCTGACAATATATCATTTCTATACTGTTTATACTTCCTTTAATATGTCTGCCATGTTGGATCATTCTGGGCAGTTCTCTGTATACCACTTTACAATAAGACCATCCTTATAAAGGATTTATAAATAGTTTATAATTAGGTTATTCATTTGGTTGTTAACACTTTATAAATCATAAATTAGAAATTATAAAATACATTATAACAAAGTTTTCATACATTGATGCAGGCTCACTGTTTCTACTCATTAATCTTACTGATGAGTTAGTACCATTTATAACTGGTAAAAGGAACCTTATTGTAAAGTGTAAAACACATCACCATTTATTAATGAGTTACCAGTTATAAATAATAGTAGCCTCAGAGGATGAATGTGGTCATGTGATATGATCATGTGATCTGCCATAATCTGATTATTAAGATGCTGTTGGTGGTTCATTGATAGTAACTGAACAAAGGTGATGAAGCAGCAGCTACAAATGATGATGATGGAGAAAACAATATGAAAACAAAAGATATGAGGCTCAACAGTACAGATACATGTGGGCTCACTATTTGGCAAGCAACAGGTCACTGTCGCCCATTTTTATCTACTGTGTTATAACAGCTTATAAATCATTTATAAAGTGTTAGCAAGCTAATTAATTAACTAGTTGAAAACCTTTCACAAATCCTTTATAAGGGGAGTCTTATTGTGAAGTGGAACTGATTAATGACTAAAACTATGTGTACGCACAAAGCCAGAAATATTCATACCCATTCTTCTCATCAGAATTATAAAGCCGTGCGTTCACATGGTTTTGCTTTATAAATCTCACTCATTGAGAAATAGGGCACATGTGCACGAGCCTCATTTCCACTCCCACAATTGGCCATAAATGGATGAAGACTCTCCCTTAATCAATCAGTTTGTATAAAAACACAGTCTGTGCCACAAGTGATCAGACACAGAGAAGAAAAGACGAGAGAGAAGGAGAGTCTGAACGAGGCTCCACAGGCTCTAACACTGTGATCTGTAAATATTCAAATAGTATCAAACAGTTACAGAATGACTCACAATGAATAATCAGGATATTAAATGATGCTGAAAGAAACACTGAGCACAAACAACTTTATTCTTGTCATTTCAGTTTTCCTTTTTCCCTCAATGTGGCTCTAATAATAATAACATTACCTTCTGAAGAGATTCTCCACAAAGATGTACTTGGCACTGAAGATGGACCTCTCCATCATCCTGACCGGAGCTGACTGAAACCAACCAATGAGAAACCTTTAGTCCAAACAGCTGATTCCCAGCCTATATTAGCTAGAATACAATAAAACGGGTGTGTTTCTAGCTAACAGCACATTTACTACGGAGGACAAGTGTCTGTCCAGCATGGTGAGTTGAACGTAGGTCTGCAGTGTGATGCCCCAGCGCTCAGGATCCTGATACATCAGACCCTGCAGGGACAGAGACAAGGCATGGTAGACATGCAGGGAAGGTTTGATCTGGATTGTCACAGTCACAAAGTATGGAGCCTCACAGGTGACCTGGTGTCATCACTGGACTAAAGTTCACTTGTTAACAGTGCACAGGTCATATCCGGTTCAACACCACAGCAGCTGAAGGCCTCTATGGGTATTTACAACTTTTATCTCCTTTCATTAAAACTTTAACTTTAAAAATACTATTCTGTTTAATGTCCTAAGAAACTATCCTGAAAATACTTTTAGGTTGTGACCTGATTACACAGGTCTGATGTCAGGTCAGTACGCCCTCACTATGACAACAACACTGTCATGCATAGTACCAGAGGGTTGTGTCCACGGATATTCCTCCATTTAGAGACTGGTTCAGTCAGAACCTGGAGCAAACAAGAGAGGAGAGAGGAAAAAGAAGTTCATAAACCTTTCTGACATCCAGGGTCGCTGTTCAGTTGATATTTTGAGAGCTGTGAGTCAAAGTATTCAGGCAGAGGGATGAACACAGGGTGTAAACAGCTAAAATAGTTCCAGTCAAAATAACCTCCTTTCTAACCACTTCTCCTCGACCTCCATGGGAAATGTCATGAAGTCAAGGAACGATGTGGAAAACAATCTGACTGCACTTACACTAGGATTTACTTTTAACTAACTTTATTTCTAACACATGGACGATAAATCCTCCTTTACTAACCACTGACACAAAACAAACAGGGTTCAAAAGTTGAAATAAGATACAAAAAAAAATACAAATAGAGAAAGTTGAGCCATTAGAATAATTCAATAGAAATAAGGAACTGAGTCGGGGCCAGAGTGAATAGTATTCAGACATACAGGAAGTAGGATATATAGAGTTTTGACTGTTTTATATATTTGTTAAGTAGAGAAAATTAGAGAATTAGAGAAAGAGGATAAATCTATATTTATGGATTTGGTTTTCAGTGGATCAGACAAGGATTTCCATCAGTTCTGGATCGAGTCACAAACATAAAACAGCTGCTCTGTTGTTTCTACATTTATGTGGGTCTGCCAAGGTGAAACTACAATGGTGTGTCACTTTAAATGTTGCTGCAGCAAGGAATTGTGGGACGGCATTTCTCCTCTCCTTTCCTAAAGGAAGGTCCAGTGTTTCCTCTGCTAAAGGAGATAAGATAGGAAGCACTGAAGCTCCTTTCCTCCTCATGTAGAGAAGTGGAGCAGCTGTGATCATGTTGCTGCTCAGAGACTTCAGCTCATTTCATCAGTTTCAACCTTCATAAGAAAAAAGACTTATTATAAAAACCTTTCATTCAAAGCCCAGCCTCTCCCGCATGTCAAACATACGGTGGCCCTGAGGTTAAGCGCACTCCAACTGAAGAAAACACTTGCAAATACACAAAACACAAACAGATACAGCCTGTTTGTGTATTTGTATTGTGTGTATTTACAACTGATGAAGATGTTTTCTGAATTTGTTTGTGTTTTGTCTGTTTGCAGTGCGTTGAGCCTCGGAGGCCACCGTACAAATGGCAGTTGTTACAACTCAAGCCAACGTGTGTAACAGTTAGAGGGGCACTTCCTGGTGGGAGGACTTTGCTTTGTTTTACCTCTATGTTGCTGGTTTTGCTGAAATACTCCAGACACGTCGTCTTCCCGCTGGCAATGTTCCCCTCCACACAGATCTGAGAGCAGTGACGGAGGGACAGATGTTAACAGGACTTCACTGTTGTTTGGTGTATGACATCTTGTTTTAGTAGGCTATGTGACGTGTGGTGATTAGCATTTAGTCACTATAAAACAGTTCATGATGGAAAACGAATCCCACAGAGTGTAGATGAAAATGAAATGATGATTGCTGATCATATGGTGGGGACTCACCACTGGTTTCTTTTCCTCTCCATCCCGCACAAGCTTTCCTTGGAAGGAAGACAACATAGTGAGACAAGACTTCAGTTCCCACAAACTCCGAGTGCTGGCCTCTCTCAGGTCAGCAGGCTACAGCGAGGTCAGAGGGACAGAGAGACGCACAACAGGTACAGTGCAGTGTGTAAGAAGGTGTACAGGCTTTTTCTTTACCCAATATGGATGTCAAGAACCCCAAATAAAAACCACACTTTAACAGTCCCTGTCACTATGACAAACATAGTACTTACACACTGCATTGTACACACATCAGTTAGTCAAAGCAGGGGTTAGCAGAAGTGAGCATGTGACAGACAGAGGTCAGGGGTCGTCGGACCACTAGTCCTCCCAAACAGCACTCAGAGTCCTGACCTAAGAGTTTCCTCTCAAGAGCTTTTCACAAAACTCCTGGGAGCAACTTTCAGTGAAGAAGAAAGATGTGCATGAGACTAGAGAAAGCGCAAGGTTGACCTCCATGAGTGTGCTTCCTCCTCCCTCACTATGTCCACCCTGTGTGACAGGTGTGTCAGTGAATGTGAGGAACAAATTCAATTACATTCAGACAGCTGATAACTATTTAATGTGCACTAAATGAACTGTCCAACAGCTCAGGGTCTGAAGAGTACGACGCAGTGTTAGGGCCACATTGAGGAAAAAAAAGAAAAGAAATATTAAGAGGAGTTTTAAGAGGAATTTAAGAGGAAAAAACATATTTCTTAGGAATATTACAAGCAACCAAAAAAAACGACATGGGGGGCAGCCATGAGAAAAGCTGGAAGAAAGTATCGCCTTTAATCACTAAAACCATGTGACTGTATTCAGTGAACCACAAAACTGAGCGCACACCTCTGCAATATCACACAATGTTAAAAGATTCAAAACTGTGTCTTTTTACAATAAGTGTATTATTTTCAAGTTTAAGTGTCAAGTGTTGCTCTTTTGTAGAATTAAAAACTAGAATCACAGCCAACCAGCCAGGTTACAGATTGCTCATATGACATGGAGCGATGAGTTTTAAAGAAATTAATAAAGGGTATAATTAAAAGTATAAGTGCATTTCATCATAATTAAGGCTTTAGTGATGTCCCCCGCCTGTAAGTCGCTTTGGAGCGTCTACCAAATGAGTAAATTTAATGTAATGTAATAATCAAGAGTATAAACAGCATTTTGTATTTGTGAAATAAGAATTTGCAGTGGAGAATCTTGCATATGGAGCCTATTATATAGTAATTAATTTAAGACATGTGGACAGGATTTGTAACATAGACAGTAAATAAAGATGGAAGTAGCAAAAATGGTCAAAGAGGAGGGGCATGTGTGGGGCTGCGACTATGGTTTAAAATGTGAATGATATCAATAAAACCAATTAAGTCAAACTGCCATGGAATTATTTACCAAATGTGTGAATTTATTGACATAATAACGCACTTCTTCTGTTCTTCCCAGCTCTATATACTGTATATACTGCATAATAACACTGGTAGGTCTAAATAGTATCTTTAATCATGACCAGGATAAACAACGAAAAAAGGGATGGATGGATTAACCAGTTGAAAAAGATCACTAATTAATTAAAGGTTCACATATTATAAGTAAGGTCTGGACCAGCGAGGATTTTCAGCCTGAAACTCAAACAAAAGCATTTAATAACAACGTAACAGCCCTTAGCTGAAGAAACAATGACGTTTGTAAAACTTGAAATATGTGTCAGTAGCTTCCAAGGTCTTTTACAGGAAACATTTTAACACTTGTCGACAGCTGCAGATATGATTAAAATGGCTCGAGGCTCCACCGTGTCCCAGCACCACTGACCTGGAGGACGGTGCTGCGTAACGCTGTGTGCTCTGCTCTGAACCCGGCTGACGTTCCCAGCATCGAGCATTAGAGCCCGGTGATACTCAGCAGCACTGACCGAGGACGGAGCCACAGCACGGCGAGCCGTCAGGAGCCTGACGCACCTCGATAACTGCGCCATTCCCAAGGCAGCTACCATCATGTTGGCACACACCAAGATGAAGATGATGCCCGATAACGATCTGACTCAAACAGGAAGTGACGATTCTTCTCCTGGTGGTGTTTCTGTAGTTCCGGTATACTTTTAGCAAAATACTTCATACATTAATGTCGTTTCTTAAAAAACACACTGATATTTGATGCCTATTTAAATTAAATAATATTGTATAAAAATATGTGAAATGCTTTTATTTAAAAAAAAGCCCAACATATGAATATCTATGAACTTTTTATTTTTTATTTTTCTCGTTTATTATTAAGTTTATTATTTTTCGTTTGTTTTCTTCTTATTCATTTATTTATTTATTCATTAATTCATTCATTTTCTTTCTTGATACCTAAAATGTTCTTATTCAGTGCTTGCTCAGTTGTGTCTATAGTTTCCGCAGTTATCCTGAATGTGATTTTATTTATTTTTTTGACTGTTATAAAGATTATCAAAAAAAACTTTCTGTAGTTCCGGTAACACCGGTAACACCGGAACATACAGAAATGCTGGATATTGAGCTGTACATTTAGACGATAACTTCGTCAAAAAACAAAAAAGCTATTAAAACTGTGAAATTGTGCTCTCATTATAATATGTTCATTTAAGTCACTTTCTTTTTATTTACCTTTATCTTAACTGACTGCAGTTACATAAAAAAACTATTCCTGTCTCCTCAAATGTCTCTGTCCTTGGACTTTTTCCTTACGGTCGCCATGACGCCACTGACATGGATGTGAAGGTCATCTCATTAAGTACAAGGCTGAATTAAACCTGCAGATGATCTCTGTTCTGTAATGATTCTGTTTTATTTTGAGTTTGTGTCTGTCTCCTGACAGTGTTTAAAACAGATAAAAATCATCATTCAGTTACATGTTCAGGTTCAACAGAGGAAATGTGACAGTCTGACATAGTTTCAATGATTCCTGTGGGACACTGTGGCCTGTCTAAAGCATTATCGTATTACAGGTCACTGAATGGCTCATTATTTTGATCAGACAGACAGAGTGGCTATTACATGAGAATATTCTTTGTTTCAGTGGGTGTTTAAAGGAAACAGGTTTGTGTGTGTGTGTCCGTCCGTCCAGAGGAGGGCAGTGCTGTGTCCTCACGCTATGTGTAAAGAAGAAGAACAAGAAGTGAAATTAAAAGTCCGGGACCAGCTCGATGTGAGCAGTTGAGAACCTGGTCAGGATGGCGGCAGACTCAGAATCCAAACTCCAGCTGGTCCACAGACACATCCGCCAATTCCCGGACTTCCCGAAGAAAGGGATCCTGTTCAGGTGAGGTACCGATCACTGCCGTGTTCACAACCACGTGTTAGAGTCCTGTCTGCAGCTTCTTCTGTGGACAGGGTTGCCTCATGGTCCGTCCCCTCCATCCGGCAGCCTGTGTGCCGGGGCGTGAGAATGCTCCTCATGCGGCTCAGGCTCTTCTGCACAGCAGGTGAGGGAGGGGATCGTCTGACAAGAGGTGATCCAGTTTACGTACAGCCGTGAGTCCACAGCTGCTGTTACTTGGATCAAACAGTCAGAACGTGTAACGTGTATATGCACATGACTTTGTGTCTGCGGTAATAACAAAGGTCTCTGTGAAACTTTCAGAAATCACAATTATGACCAAAGACGCTTTTGCAGTTTGTAGTTTAATTAGGCAAGACGTGTTTCCATGTGTTTGGTTTGTCTAATATCTGTGTTTATATTTGGAGACTAGACTGTAATTAACATCATTTACAGATGAGTTTTAAGATCATGAAAATGATCCTTATGCAGATCCGTCTGCATTATCTGACCTGCTCCTGTTCCTCAGATTATAACCACTCTTTTTTTTTTTTACCAGTTTGAATATCTTTAAAGGGCCAATACAACACATCAAATGCACTTTTCTACTTGCATAAAAGTGATTGCAGCGTCTACAGGAAGCTTGTTTTCTGCCCGGAAGTGACTTGATTTCACCCTTGATGATATTAAGACTGCTGACAGCCCACACAGTGCTTTTAAGATAAAACAAGATATTCCTTTGGAGATCGATATTTTATGGAACGTTCGGGTTTATGTGGCACTCGTGGAATAATAAATGCACGTTTTGTAAGTACAACGAACTTGTGGGATCTTTTATGCGTGTGGAGTACGACGAGTCCACTTGGTGTAAAGCCGGTTGCACCCACCTCAATGGCTTGTAGACACTTTTTTTTTTGATCCTGGAATCAAGCCATACAATAATAATAGATATTTCAAGGGCCTTTTAAGGGCCAATACAACCCATATACACAGTTTTCAGATGGTCCTCACACCGATCGGTGCTCAGGCACTAAAATGTTCTTTTTCACCTGCCAAAAATCTACCACTGAAAGTAAAGTTAGACATAAAGTTGTATGTATTTACACGCTCTGGCTGTGTGATCCAGGAAACAGCAGCTGTAGACCGACAGCTGTGTGTAAACTGGATGATACAGCTTTAACAGGCTCATTCTGAAGGTGTCCTTATAAAGTTCTGGACCATCAACTTTTTCTTTGCTCATTTCTTTCTATCCGTCCACCATTACATGATTGATAGACTGATCTCACTGTTTGCTGTATACTGTAAGTCAGGGCTGGTCTCAGTCAGTTGGGGCCTTAGGCCAGATAAATAACCACTTTGGTTGTGAGTAAATTGGCCACGGGCAGGTGGGGGAGGGTGTGATATCGGGGGCAGGTAAACATCAGTGTGGGCTCTATCAGCTGTAAACCATACAGGTGTTGCACAGACAGCCATGCAGCACCTTCTCTCTGCTGACTGCACTGTGCCTGAGATGCAAAACACCTCCCTCCTCGGGGAAATAAAGGGGGAGTGTTGTTGTTACCACATGTTTACACATGGGACCCCCCCCCCCTCAGTGTTAGTCAGGACTCCTGTTGTCACCATCTTCTACCATAGTGTATGTGGTGCTGGGACTTTTGGACATTTTTTTTTCTGGAAATGTTCCCGAGTTTTAAGCCTCACGTCTTTCATGGTTGTCATGGAGATGGTTACATTTTCACTTGACAAGACTGAAATCCCATGATAGGATACTGTGTGATATATATACACATATAGTGTTGTTACAGGTTTACAAGATGGCTCTTTTCAATCTAGTGCAATTTTATTTATATAGTGTCAAATTATAACAAATATAATCTCAAGGCTCTTTACAAGGTAAGGTCAAGACCTACAATATTATAGAGAGAGAGAGAGCTAAGTGCACCATGGGAGTCCCCCCAGCAGTTCTACAGGAGAGGAGCCTGATAGCAGAAGGAGTGTTCTGTTTGGATGATAAGGAACTATGAGCTCTTTAAGATACACTGGTGTCTGACCATGAACGTTCTGGATTTAGCTTTACTGCAGAGACGGGTGAATGTGGTGACTCAGCTAAACGTGTGTGTGTGTGTGTGTGTGTGTGTGAGCGAACCAGGAGTCAAGGATCAAACAGTTCAGTCTGAAGTCTAGAGACTCATGTTAGACTGTGGACTGTAGTTGAAGGTGGTGTTAGACAGTGGGCCCCACTTATTGTCAACACAGCTCCATCAGTTTAACACTATATATTTTGTGCACGTGCACAGTTTTACCATGCAGCTCTGCAGTCTCCAGAAGATGAACTGTCACCAGTGGTTTTGCAATATTGGTTCCTCATGTGCACAAAATGTAGCATGGAGGATCATTAGTGCCATGGGTGCTCAGCTCCGAGGCACTCCTCTACAGCTAGAATAGCTGAGAAGAGTGCACGTAGAAATGCACGTAGAAATGTGATTCAAACTATAAAACGGAGGAAAACTTCTGCTCTCTCCAAAACACAGGAACTGTTTTTACATAACATGTAAACTTTTCAAACTATGAGCACTCAAAGGAGGAGTGCAAATCACTTTTTCTTCAAAGTTAGAGTGACAGCGTCAGTTGGCTAGAGTGCGTGAGGCCGTAAAAAATAACCTTTATTTTTATTTTTACCTCGAGCGCACGGTCAAACCGTAAAAAGGAGACAAATAATTCTTTCTGAAAATGTAGACATACTGTAGTTGTTGGGATTCATAAAATGTAACTTTGACAGGCAGGGTCTGCGCAAAATTTAAACGGGGGTGCCGAGTCCGGCAGCAATACCTGTCTCACTCTCATTGACACCTAATGTAATCGTCTTTTTTTTTCAAAAGAATCTCACTCTGTCTTCGCACTGAGCTTACTCACTCATTTTAAGGAATATCTGAATAAAATAGAGACTGTAAGAAACTTCTGGCTTCAGTGTCTGTCACGGTGTTTTCGGTTTTTGAAAAGAAGTAACGGTTTTCTCATAATTTGCAATTGTTTTAAGCCATGTAGAAGCCAAATTCTGGGCAGATTTTCACATTGCCATGGCAACGGCAGCTCCTGACCTGTGTGCGTGCGTGCGCCTAGCAACCCAGATAACCAACTCTCCAAGCTCCGCTAGCTTTACATGAGCCGCATGTTAGGTCTTAAATTACATTTAGTTAGGTTCTTAAATATGTAAGTCCATTTACTGCTTCCTTTGTTGCTTTTCTTTTTGTTTTTGTTAAATGAGTAAATGAAGTTGTGACGGTCTCCGCTGAGACCAGAGGAAGAGGAGAGCTACTAGCCCTCTCTCGCTGTCACTTCTAGTCGCGTTGCTCTCCTCCCAGTAATTTAAATTTAGCACCGAAAAAAACATAATAGTGGTAATTTAAATAGCGGTTCATGGGATTTATTAACCTCTCAGGGGTCCCTCTGTCCTTTTTTGGACATTTTCTTCACTTTTTCTTTTTGATTTGCTGATCATTTTGGCTGTGTTACAGCTGAAGGTATGGATTTTGCAAGAAAGTGTCTTTTTTTAACATATTTTTAAAAATCTAATGTCAGTTACTGTTACAGGTCTATTATACACTGGTAACACATTTTTGTTACCCTCTGGGGTTCCTCGCGTCCAAAAAGGACACACAAAGAAAATGCTATAAAATCATCATATATCAATAATTTTTTCTTCTTTTTTTGCATATATCTCTTAAACCACTTCAGTTCTGCTCAAACCTACCAAATGTTTATTAGTTTTCAGGATTTTAACCCTTTAAATGCCAGTTTGAAGACATGTTGCCTCTTGTTTTATTAAAAAAAACAACACAGAATATGAGATATTTCCCACATAATACATGATGGAGGGATGTGACATTGTTTTATATCAGAGTCTTTTATATCAAGACATTTCTCAAAACCAGAATATGATCAGGGTGGCTTTTGAACACTGGAAATAAATCATGTACTCATCCCGGCAGTAGCCCCCGTGGCGCTCAAAATTTCCCTGGAATTTTCTAGTTATTATTGTTATTATAACTCAACATCTCCTCAGAGAAGGAAGTGCAACATTTCTAGAGCAGTGTGGGGTCAGCAGTAGTGATTCAGTTTACCTTCATCAAAAAAAATTGCAGCTCCAGTGATTTGGATATTGCACTTGGCCATATCGTGATTTCAATTATATTCTGATTAACTGTGCAGCCCTAGTTTTAGTCATTCACTGTGGGAAGATACCATCCATTCTCTGGTGCCAGCTTCTCAAGAGTGAGGATGAAGTGCTGCTTTTCTGTCTTTTATATCATTGTTACTGTCATCTTTGGTCTCTTTTTTGGTGACTAGTTTATTTAGACGTGCTGGTGAAAGAATACGTCAGAGGTTCCCAAACAACTCACTTCTCCTGAAACGTACTCTCTCAATGTAAATGTGTTTTATATTGATGAATATTTGAAGTGACTGGATGCTGATGTAATGTGTGTGTTTGTGTGTGTGTTCGTTCTGCAGAGATATCTGTCCCATCCTGAGGGATCCAGCTGCTCTCACCGCAGTGATCGACCTGTTTGAAGAACACGCCAGGAAGAATTACAAGCAGGTCGATTTGGTCATAGGTAAGAAAAGAAAGCAAAGCCTCTTTTAATGTGAACCACAGTCCTTTACCTGGTGAGCCTTGAAGGAACAAACAAGGAGAGTGGTACCAGTATCTTTAAAAAGTATTCATCCACTCGCCTTGAGAAAGTAGTGCTGTACATGATTCATGGAGACAAGTGATGTTGGGTTCTCTCTCACTCACTCACCGTCTAGATGCAGAAACAGCCTTTGATTGTAACACTTTGCCTTATCTGTGTCACACATGACATAGATTTTCAAAAAGGAAATGGAAATTGAAGAGGGAATTCAGGACTGGATTCCCATTTTTAAAATGTGCCATTATTTATTCATGAATTCATAAATGTATTTATAAATGGTTTATTTAATGAGAGTTTTGTGCTGTTTTTGCAAATCTATTTTTAAATTTGAGGTATTTATTGATACATTAATTGTTCATTTATAAATTCTTTTTTACAATTCTTATTTTAAAGCCTATTAAAATATGAAATTAAGGAAATGCTTTATGACTTTTCCTGTGACATCCCTGTTCCTCCACAGGAGAAGTGATGGGGCAGCTTCACTCATATCTGATCTGAACAGTCTTGCCTGTCCACCTGTTTATTTATAACTAAGACTAACAGTAGCTACACCATCTCCTAATGTGTCTTTACAATGAATATTTGACTCATGCAGCATTTGTGGTGTTGTGTTGTGTTGTGTGTGTGTGTGTGTGTGTGTGTGTGTGTGTGTAGGGTTAGATGCTCGTGGCTTCCTGTTCGGGCCTCTGCTCGCCCAGCGGCTTGGTGTCGGCTTTGTCCTGGTCAGAAAGAAAGGCAAACTACCAGGAGCCACCGTGTCTGTGGCATATGATCTGGAGTATGGCACGGTAAACAACACACACACACACACACACACACACACACACACACACACACACACACACAAAAGACTTAGTTTAAAACAGTACACTGCATTTGTTGGGCTTGCAGTTATGTTCAGTTTACATTGTAGACAGGATGCTCCACGTTCCTCATTTTAAAGCTTCTGTTATTTCCCCTCTAAAACAACATGCAACCTAAAGTTATCACTTTATTTTCATTGTATTATGACTTATTTTTGTAAAATTTGGACTTTATTTTCAAAAGACATTTTAAATTGCATATTATAACTTTAAGTTGTAAAAAAACCAAAAAAAACACCACCATTGAACACTAGCTTCTGTGACCAGATGGCAAGACCACCAACACAGTGAACAGGCACTCGGCTACAAATGAAGGAAATTGATGTAGTTGCTGCTTTAGCTCCTCGTCACTGAACTGTTCTGGAGTCAGGGTGTGTTCTGAGGCCGCTCCAGAATTGTTCTGTCTCACCACAGTCCTCATGAACAGTCTTCTTCTGCTCCTCCAGGCTGAGGCAGAGATCCAGGAGGACGCCGTGGCTCCAGGACAGAAGGTTCTGCTCATTGATGACCTCCTGGCTACTGGAGGTATCTGCTGCTTTCAACCCATTATCACTGATCACTAGACTCAGTCTCATTGTTACATATAAACAAGACACAGAAATAAAGGGAAGATAGTGTTAGTGGATTTACACTAGCTGTCAGATAGAATTCTCTTTTTTAAAGTCACTTGGTTTCATTAACTGTAAAAGCTTCAGGTGAGTTCAACCTCAGATTGAAATGAGAGTAGTTGATTTACAGTGGAGACTTAGATTATTATAAATGGGTTTATTTATAATATGGGATATAATGGGATTATTACATGGTTGACTGACTTGTGGCATGAGGGAGGTGTTGGGCTGATACTAACCCGAGCAAAGTGTAATGTGTGACGCTGATGTGGAGCTTCACACATGCCACTGGAATCAGTATAGATAAAAAAAAATCAGAAATTAATTAGAATTATTATAAATTGATTAAATAAAAATATTTTTGAAATGATACAGACAGGTGAGAATTTGAAGGAAAAACCAATAAACCATTGATTCTGCAAGTCTCTGAACTCTGCTGGAGGGTGAGCATCATTCTTCCTGAAGGTATTCCCTCATTTGTTTTGACACACCAGCCCAAAACCTCCCATAGCTGCTCAACTGGCTTGAGATCAGGTGACTGTGAAGGTCATAGTAAATGATTCACATCATGTTCATATCATGGACTGTAAATAAAGATGGACGTAGCCTCTGTGACGTCAGAGTGAGCCGTCACTCTGAGCTCGTCAGACCGTCAGTGACCCCCGTGACCTGTGGATGGAGACACAGTCGTCCTGTGTCTCTGCTCATCTGTCAGGTTTTTTTCTTTAATTTGTCACTGTCTGTACATTGTCATTGGGTGACAGTAGACAGCAGCTTGTATTGTGAAGTGTCATTCAGACGTCTGTGTGTTTGTTGCAGGGACGCTGTTTGCAGCCTGTGAGCTGATGAGGAAGCAGCAGGCCGAGGTTCTGGGCTGCATGGTGATCATCGAGCTCAAAGAGCTGAACGGCTCCAGCAAACTCAAGCCACACAGTGTTTTCTCCCTGCTTCAGTACTGAGGACCAAACAGTGGTTTACAGCCAGCGGGTCTCCTCTCCAACTCCCTCACTTACAGTTTTTATTATTTCAAACCTGCTAATTCTCTGATTGCCTTACCCAGCATGCTTTGGGCTTATCCCAAGGAGACAGTTTGGTTTCTACAGTTCCTAAAGGAGTCTTAAAATGTCTTAACATTTCTAGAACTTTCCTTTCACCTGACGCACACTGGGATCACTCAGCACCACTCTGTGCCAAAACAGGAAGTGGGACAGAACATTTCATCTCAGACTGAATGACCTTATGTCTACATTTTGCACAGTTTTTGTTTTATTGTATTTGATAAAACGACAGATTGTCCTCTTCAGCACGAAGGTGGCGTCACTGTTTGAAGGGGCGGAACGTGGGTCAGTGACTGGAAGCCATGCCATGCTATCCATGTGAGGCTACAGTTAGCTGTGGCATGCTATGCTGGCTAATAAACAATACTGTATATTTGTTTGGATTTTGGAGAATCCAAAGTCTTAAAGTCTTTACATTTGTGCACAATGTGTGTATTTGATGGAGGTATCCAAACATGGCCACCTCTTCTATGAGGACAGACTCATATTAATGTAAAATAGAATATTCTGTATTCCACTGTTTGATAACATACTGTGGGAAAAAAAATGCACACAGGATGATGACCAATAACAAATAAATAAAAGTTGGAATGTTGTATTTAAAGCCATACAGCTGTTTATTAACAGTTGACCAATGACCTCTGTTCCCTTCACTGATGCAGGTTTCCTGTGTTCTGCTTGTTGTGATTTTTGTCCTTAATGGATAATATTTGTGTTTCTTTGTTTGAACCACAAATGTATTAATTTAATAAAGGAAACTACAAACTACAGACTTGGTGAAGAGTGTACTCCAGATATACATGATGTTACATGTCACACTGAAAACAAGACAAATTGATATTGATTAAAGAAGAATGAACATATTCTTGTTCTCACAAATGAAAAGTTGAATGTATAAGCAGTAGAACACATTCCTGCTCAGTTCAATATCCTGACACACTACTTGTTGAAGTGAGAAGTTTACAGACATTTAGGTTGAAGTCATTAGAAGATTTCATGTTATCTCGCAATATTTTTGTCAAGTCAGTAAAGTCATCTATTTTGTGCATAACACAAGTCATTTTTCCAACAGTTGTTTCCCTTTCAATTCACTATATCAGTTCCACTGGGTCAGAGGTTTACATGGGCTGTGGTCGAAGTCTTTTTTTCTGAGGAGGGTTCCTAACTGGACCTTCCTTTAGGAACGGAAAGGAGAAAGGCTGTCCCACAATTCCTTGCTGCAGCAACAATTAAACAGACAATTGTAGTTTCACCTTGGCAGACCCACATAAATGTAGAAACAACAGAGCAGCTGTTTTATGTTTGTGACTCGATCCAGAACTGATGGAAATCCTTGTCTGATCCACTGAAACCCAAATCCATAAATATAGATTTATTCTCCTTAAAACCAGACAGGAGTCGTCATCATCAATACAAGCAAATGTGCATGATGTCACCTCAATTCTGACGAGAGTCTCTGTCGTTCCTTTAAGTAGCTCTAAAGAACGCCATAGATAATCTACTCTCCATATTTGGTATAATATCTACCAGAAGTGGGAAGAGAGGGATGTGGGAACATTCTATTGGTTCATTAACCATAAAAGAAGTGAACTTGATTTACGCACGCCCAGGTGCAAGGCTTAGAATGCGAGCCACTTGTAGCTGGACATCCAAGGTCGTGCATTATCTGCCGTAGCTTCCGCAGTATCAGTAGAACTCACAGATGTGTCTGGAGGAGGCGCCTGTGCGTCTCCTGCAAGATTTAATTCAGTGTCAGTGTCAGTGTCAGGCAGACCAAGGGCCTTCAGGCTGACATTTTCCTTCAGTCACCACACCAACAGTTCACCATCACCTTCAGATAATTAATGCAATTATTGCCTTTGTTTTACCAACTGTTCTATTTAATAAAATGCATGCACAGAAAAACATTGGAGGCAGCGTGACTCTGACAAAGGCTTGTATTTCTTAAACATTTTCACACAGTTACAATAATGTAAACACTCATCAGCTCTACATTGTAGAAAACGATCCCATACAAAGACTGGAAACAGATCTGTGCGCATCATTGTTACACATTCAGGGAGGAAAAAAAAAACAAAAAAACAAAGCACAGCGGTCACTATAACAGCAGCGTGGTTAAAACAACCTGTTTACAACACAGGACTAAGTCTGGTTCATCCTGTGAGGCCCCAGGATACGAGACGCTGTGCCTGGATCAGTCCGTTCTCACAGAGCACATCCCGAAATCATGTTGACGTACCTGCTGCCAATAAACCAGTGGAATTCACTTTAAAACACAGCACTTTAAAAGTAGTTAGCATCCGGTGTGCTGCTCTTACAGCACAGACCTGAGGATGGTGATGTCATCACATCATCTCTCAGTCATCAGTCTCTCAGAGCTTCTCCTCCTCCTCTCTCAGAGTCTCTCCTCCTCCTCTCTCAGAGTCTCTCCTCCTCCTCCTCTCTCAGAGTCTCTCCTCCTCCTCTCTCAGAGTCTCTCCTCCTCCTCTCTCAGAGTCTCTCCTCCTCCTCTCTCAGAGTCTCTCCTCCTCCTCTCTCAGAGTCTCTCCTCCTCCTCTCTCAGAGTCTCTCCTCCTCCTCCTCTCTCAGAGTCTCTCCTCCTCCTCTCTCAGAGTCTCTCCTCCTCCTCTCTCAGAGTCTCTCCTCCTCCTCTCTCAGAGTCTCTCCTCCTCCTCTCTCAGAGTCTCTCCTCCTCCTCTCTCAGAGTCTCTCCTCCTCCTCTCTCAGTCGTCTGCTCAGTTTGTCCAGAACGATGCTCAGCTCCATGTTCTTGTTCAGCTTCAGGTAGAAGTCCTTCCTGATTGGATGGATCGTCAACCAATCGGCAGCCACTTCTGCCAGCAGACGGATGTGTTTCTCCATTTCACCTGTTCATGAGAGAGGAGGAACAGCCCATCAGAGAGCAGTTGTTTTCTCAAGTTTGCTCCTACATAACAATACTGAAAGCTGCGGTAAACACTGTATTATCTCCTGTTGTTGGAACCCACCTGTGCTAAGAGCAGACCTGTAGCTGGCCACCATCCTGTTACAGGCCACCTCCATTATCAAAGCCGGTTTCTTCTCTGCTACAAAAACGTTTCGAAGGATCCTTGCCAGCTCCCCGAGTCGTGACATCATCATCAGGCGCTCCTCCTGGTTGGGGTTTCGAGTCATGGCAGCCAGGAGCTTCTGAGCCTCCTTCGCACGAATCTGAATCACCCACAAACGACCAGAAACAGTGTGAGAAATCACAACATGTATTTCATATATGTATAAAAGCATGGTCAGGTTCACACTACCCCGCTTACCCGGTCCAGCAGGGACTGAGACACTCCTTTCAGGGTGGTTGGGACCGGAGCTGCAGGAGCAGATGATGGAGCAGCTGATGGAGCTGGTGTCTGGGGGGCTGTTGGGTTCTGTGGAGGAGATGTCGGCTCTTTACTTTCTGCAGCATTATCTTCTCTCCTCTGAGCCAGAGAAACCAGAGCCTTCTCCATCTGAACACAGGACACACAAGAGAACAATTCCATGTCAGTGCTGAACACACATACTGGATTAATACGCTGAATAAATGCCGTTTATTAAATATACATCGTGGCCGCACAAACCCAGATTACACCCAGAACCATCTGAACCTCCAGGTTTTAATATCTAACAGTTACAGTACCTTGGGTGTGATGAGTGAGCGCGCCTTGTCCAGCACCTCCTGAGCTGTGGCCAGTCTCTCCGTGCGAGGAGGCTGAGGCAGCGAGCTGGTCTGGACGGCAGGCACCGTGTCCACATTAAAGCGAGGGTGCCAGCGGGTCAGTTTGTCGTCTGGAACAGAGACCGGAGGAACCAACGAGGACAGGAAGACCTGCAGACAGAGGAGTGGTTTGAAAACCCCTTAGAACCAAACGTGCCACAGACCTGAGTCTGTGGCACGTTTGAAAAACTCCCTATTCACGGCTTCAGTTCAGTTGTGACCGTCACTATATGAAACCAGGTGAGAGCAGCTGCTGACCTTGTGGTGCTGTTTGACAATGGAGACCAGGTTCAGGTGGAAGATGTGTCTTCTCTCTAGGAGACGTGAGGCTGAGAGGACAGGACGTGCTTCATTCTGGTCTGAGGACGACACAAAAATGAACACAAAGGTAGTGGACACATTATCATTAGCACCTATAACATTAGACAGTTACTCATGTATTTGTTGATTAAAGGAGAACTGACCAAACTGTATCTGTGTAAACTGTTCTTTTTTTTTTATAATCTTTTTATTTGGGATACAACTATGAATATAGAAACATGATTACAAGCCCCACCCCCTCTTTTTTTTTTTTTTTTTTTTTTTTTTTTTAAATAAATGGCAGGAACATGCCCAGGTCCCCAACACTGTCTCTGTATAGAAATTAAATTATAATATAGGAATAGATCAAATATATAGAACATGCACTATTTAAATATTAATTTGTAATAACTAATATAAATAAAATTTAAAAATCATATTAAAAAAACCCTCAAGAGTAAATAAAGGAAACATTTTATTAAGAGAAATAAATAAATAATTGAAAGAAATTTCAAATAATCTATGAAGTAAAGTGTGTTCTAACCAGAGAGGATGACGGGCTCCACGGTGAGCTGGTAGCTGCCCTTCTTAATGCTGCTGTTGAAGGTCGGGATGTTCTTCTCCTGTCTGAACGTGTAGGCCTCAGGAAACACTGTCTTTATCTGACCCACGTGGCTCTCCTCAAAACGCCTGAGAGAGAGAGAAGAGGCCAACATGAGCTTCTGTCAAGTCCAGCTGTGGAGAGCCGTGCAGTGTTTAAACAGACGTGTGTCAACAGCACTCTTTACTGCCCTACTTTACTGATGGAACTATCATGACATATACCACTTTCTGTAGCAGCAATATTAGAAACGCTTATATCAGAGTTTTATTCTAGCTTTAACTGATTCCTTATGACTCACACATGGACTCATCCTCATTTAAATCTGAACTACAATCCTCTCCTGGTGGTTGTCTGCCTCCTCCACTCAGACTAGGTTCAGGTTACATCCCTGTTTATCCACAGTCACAGAAAATATCAACCGTTTGTGTGAAATTTCATCATAATGCTGTGAAGTCTTGAGTCATGGCTATAGGTGTCACTGAAATATTGTGTCCACGAGAATGGGACAACCTGAAAACAATATGATAGACCTTCCCTCAGTACTTCCACCTACTTGTGCATCATGTCCTGAACTCCCTGCTTGACCTTGGCGAATGTGGCCGTCTCACAGCGGTTGTACAGCATGGCGACCACAGTGTCCATACTCCTGAACATCTCAGCCAGCAGCTTGTACTGGTAAGGCAGGGAGAGGCCCGGGGGGGCTGCCTGGGCGAGGGTGTGGTACCGCTGGTACGCTGGCTGCTCAGTGCTGAGGGTAAAGAGAGGGGAAAAAAAAAACACTTTGTCTTCTGGTTTGGACTCAGTGAGCAGGACCTGCGGTGAGGGTGAAGTACAGACTGTGTGTTGTGTGTGTTCGTGCTCACCTGTCCGGGGGTGGTGTGTCGCTCTGCTCGCTCTCCTCGGCCTCTCTCTCCTTGATTCTCCTCTGAGCTTTAGCTGCGAGCTCTCTGGCTCGTGCTACAGTGAGCTTGAGGGCCTTGGCGTCAGAGGTGGAGGGTGTGGCAGCTTTGGGTACAGGTGGGTTAGTATTGTCAGGTGCTGGAGAAGATGGAGAGGAGCAGGAGGAGGCAGTGGAAACTGAAGCACTGCTGATTTTTTCCTCTGCGTGTTTCTTGATCCTCTGGAGGCGAGACTTTAGGGCTGCGATGTCCTCTTTACACAGTGTCTGGCAGAGAAGGGGGGGCATGATGATGAAATCAAGGATAAGTGAGGCTATAGTCCATATTTTCTTACTGTCAACTAAGTCCATGTACAAAGCCAAACCAGGAATGAATGTATCCTACTCATAAGTACTGCAAGTCTGTTCTATTGTTAGACAAACAGCAGCTGTCAGACGCAGATCAGGCGGCCACTGACTGTCCTTTCACCTGTTTGATTGGTTGTTGTAATATTCCTAAAAATTATGTTTTTTTTCCTCTTGAAATTTTACATTTTTAATTATATCATAGTTATATCATGACTTCATTTTCAGAATCTCAGATTCTTTTTTTCCCCTAGTCCTCTGTCATAGAATAGCATACACTAGGTTGGCATAAAAAAAAAAACTTTCCACAGCCACAGACTGCTACCTCACAGTTACACCATGATTAGCACATACATGTGCTGGTGCTAGCATTTTGCAACACCATCTGTATGGAGCAACGGTGCTAGCCTCCTGGAGAACTACACACTCTGTGTAACAGTCAATCCAGACACACTGTGTTACCTTGCTGGGCTGTCCTGCAGTCTTCTTACTGATGCCCTCTGCATGGTTCTCAGCTCTCTGTGCAGACACAGGAGCTGCTGGAGCTGAGGGCTGCTGGGTCGCTTCTGGCATAGGAGGCTGGGCTGAAGCCTGGACACAGACACACACACACACACACACACACACACAAGAGATTTTACTCAAACTTCAATCGTCATGAGTGTTTCACATGTACAACGTGACTGTATACAGTGGCAAGAAGAAGTGATGGAATCATCTGCATTTACGTATATATTTTTCTGAAAATATGAGCAAACAATGTATTTCAACTAATAACACACACATCATCATAATGTTCTTGTCCACATTTAAAACATCATTCAAACATTCACAGTGCAGGTTGGATTGGTTACAAGTTATTAAATCACTATCAGAAACTCTCAATATGGAGATTCCATGTTGTCTCTCACTGTGTTTGCTAAATGACAATTCTCAGGTACCTACGTCTGTCCATGTGAAAAGAATCTGGCTGTCTGGCCTCACTGCTACAAAGAAAACCCACCACACACATCGTCACTAAATCACTGGTGGTACCTGCTATTACATATTCCAATATTACAGCTTTTCATTGCGTGGTCTCATGGTGCCAAAGGGAAGACTTTAGGATCTTGGTCTGAAGCTGAAGTCTTAGTTGTTGAATCTCTTGCCAGAAGAGGGGGAAGAACTGGGTTTGGGGTGGGAGGGGTGGGGCTTTTAGACCGCTCACTATTCCTAACTGGTGGCATTTAGTCGTTTTTATGCATGTGCATGCATATGTACTTGGCTGTATATTCACATAAGGATGCATATGAATAAAGATGATGCAGGTATGTATTAACCTGTCCCCATGTCGCAAGCTAAGGTATACACTATATACACGTATACTTGCACATGATTTTCACTTGTACAGTAGTTAATTTTATAGATAGGTACAATATACCACGAATGTCTTCTATGTTTATCTATTAAACATTAAATTATCCTAGAAATACGTATGTCTATGCATACACGCTCTATTCTTTTCTTTTTTGTTTGTTTTGTCAACCTGACTTAATAAAAATGTAACAAAAGCTTATCAGGAAGTCAGGAGTTAGCAACCTGGAGCTGTGGGTTAGAGGGACTCTGACTCTGACAAAAAACACACTTCAACATTTTGAGTTTGATCATCTGATGTGAACCAGGCATCACAATGAAGACCTCAGAAGACTGAGTATCAAGAAGCATAGAGCTGGAAGTCACAGCTGGAAGAGTTTAGGCCTTCATTAGACAAAATGACTATAATGGAGATGATTTAGTTCTGTGGCTACTCTCCAAAAGCTCAACACACATGATAAATGGGGTGGAAAAAAAAAAGCAGCTAAGGCTAACAGCCAAAGGTTAAAATCACCTCTGCTAATGATACACAAGTCAGTGAACGGGGATGGTGTCCATGGCAGGAAACCATAGAAGAAGAAAAACATTAGCGTGTGTTTTAGGATTGCCAAAAAGTAGCTTAACTCTCCACAACACACAGAACCGGTCACACTGTGTGTGTGGTGTAAAAAGGCTCTCTGCACAGCAACATGACAAAATCCTCCCGTGGGTGAAGCAGGGTGGAGGGAGCATCATGATCTAGGTGTTTGATGCCTCTGGACCTGGACAGCTCCACCTCACAGGGGGTAAAATGAAATCAAGTCCATCAAAGTCTCTAACGGGATAATGTAGAGATGCTGAGGAAAGAGCTCAGAGACTTGTTCATACGTCCTCAGAATCTGTGTGAGCTGAAGCGGATCTGTGGGGAGAACGGTCCTGGTCTTTGAGCAGCTCGGATCAGCAGCTACTGAAAGAGCTTGGCTGACGTTTTTGCTGCCGCTGAAGGTTCATCCAGTTATTAAATCCATGAGTTCACAGTCCACCAGCACCGTCAGTGCTGACATGATGTGTTCAATACAGACATGAAGGATTAAAATCGTGTGTTATCTTAAGCACTATGCTTAAGATAACAAAACACACAAATTTAGTCAGATATAACTCAGATTTTTATAAGATTCGGTGACTAGTTCAGCAGAAAACCAGGTCATTGCTTAAAATTTCGCAGGCAACCAAACTAGTAAATAAACTGTGTATTCTGGCTGCCATCTTTGTTTGAATCAACACATTAACCTGAGTGAGGCACTGCCACAACACACATCTCTCCCAACCAGACCAACATTACCTGTGGTGTGTCCTGAGGGAGGACCAGTTTCTTCCTGGCCGTCCTCCTCGTTGTTTTCTCCGGGATGTTAGCTTTAGTGTCTCTGACCTCCTCCGCCTGACGTCTCTTCTTGGCCGTGCTGTGGTCGGCGGTGGCTGAAAACAAGGGAGCCCCGAGATCAAACTCTGTCGAGCTCCGCTTCGGTGTCCGGGGGCTGGAGGGGAGAACTTTGGTGGTGTTGGTGAATGAAGATTCTCCATCGTTTAACCCCGCTGCCTCGTCAATAACTCGGAGAAACTCTTCGTGGACATAGGACGAACAAAGGTCTTTGTTTTTAGCGGATCTTGACCGTGTGCTGGTGACGCTAGTGCTGGTCCCTCCAGAGCCGCGGCTGCGCTGCTTGGCTGGTTTCACCGGGCCGCCGATGCCTTTCTTTTTCTGGGAAAAGAAATCAGTAACTCGGGCCTGAGACATGTTGCTGCTGCCGGACGTGTCCACCGGAGTCGTAAAGATAAAAGTGCACCACTGAGCTACAAAACGAGGACGCTAAAGATATTTAAATACCGTCCATCCACAACAACTCTGTGGAAACGTTCACAGGAAGAAGAAAAGAAGTTTCGCGCGAAACCAACAAAGCCACGCCCCATCCAGTACACGTGGTAGGATGATAAAAGGAGGAGGGGACGTGTTGATGAATGGGGCAATTCTTAAAGTAACACTCGTTTGCTGTGTTACAGGAAATCCCAGTGAACATCTGCCCTGTTTTTGGTTTGATGGTTTGATTAATTTGATTGATTACTGATTGGTTCTTTGATTATTTTTTCTGAAATACGTGTTTCTATGGCGACACAGATCCATCCCTTATTATCCCAGTATAAAAATAAACATGTAGATGCATAGATAGGAAAATTCTCTAATACACAAGTGGGGTCTGAACTGTTCATACATGTTTAAAACATGAATAATTTACAGTGTATATCATATAATAATAATAATAATGATAATGATAATAATAATAAAAACAACAATAGTAATAATAATAATAATAACTTTATTTATAGAGCACTTTTCAAAACAGAGTTACAAAGTACTGTATAAACATAAAACAAAACAAAGCGATAAAAGGCAGAAAAGAGGCAACGTGTCAATTACCAAGGCAAGTATAACAAATACATTTGTGTGTTAAAACAATGAAATCAATAAATCAGACAAAAGAATAAGACTAAAAGTAAAAATGAAAAAAAAGATAAAAGCATTGAAATCAAGAATTAAAAGCTGCTTTCTACAAGTATATGTTTTGAGTAGTATTTTAAACTGGGGCAACGACTCAGCACACCTGATCTCCTCGGGCAGGATACTCCAAAGTCTAGGGGTTCTGATAGCAAATGCCCCTTTGTTTAGCCGAGACTTTGGGGGATATAGCAGAGTTTTGCCCGAGGATCTCAGGCAGTGCGTTGGTCATAAGGGGAGAGCAACTCTGAAATGTAAGAAGGTGGCAAACTGCACTGCTGAGTCTTAAAAGTGATTAAAAGTATTTTAAAATCGATCCCAAAAGACACGGGTAGCCAACGTAAGGAGGCTAAAATGGGTGTAATGTGATCATATGGTGACAGTATATACAGCATATCAACAGTATATGACATCAAGTGTATCAAGCAGGCTGCTTGAAAGATTATCAACAGATGAATGACTTGAGATATAACAGATGTGATGGATAATGTAATAAATAAAAATCCAGTCGGAGTAGTCCCTCACTCAACTCACTCACAACAGCCTTTAGAATGACTTCATTAGGTCACGCCATCTTAATACCCTCTGTAAACATAATGTAATCTAAGATGTTGGATTTTAACAATCTTGAGAGAGTTGACTCATTACAGTAATCTAAAAAACATGAATGAACTCCTGTAAAGTTTATCATGACATTTCAAATGAATTCTCTCCTGGTGTAATAACTTTAGGTTGAAACTGAATCCCTGTGGAAAAAAATTAGGGACATAATTAATCATTTTTGATAATCATCTCCTACCCTCACAGTTCATGATCAATGACACAGAGACAGAGCTTCTGATGGGATCCTGCCGTGACAACGAGCTGTCAGAAAGCCATTTGCCTTTTTATGTTAATTTCTTTACACCACTGTGAGTTCTTCCACTCTTGTGTACTCGACTGGTCCTTGGTTACATGTGTCTGATCTTCTGTCAGCAAGTTATTTTACATATTGATTCTACTAAATGAATGATAAAAGAATGAATGAATTAAAGAAGTAGATTATGATACTTAGATAGATCTTAAACTTCCCAGCCAACGTTCAGTAGTTTGATCTTAGCCAGATAGCCTGACTGGATCACCACCAACAAGAAACTACTTCCTCATTAACACAGAAATATCCTCATTGTAGTAAGTACCTTTACCTTTGAGTACTCAGTGTTTATAATTTCTTGATCTATTTATACACTACCCCTTCAGGGGCTCTCAGTAAACTTAGGGGACAGACACCTTAAATACAGAGTACGAGAGTAAGGGAAGGAAACACACGGATCTAAATATGAAAGGCACTACTAGTTTTCCTGATGCATTATGGGATACTATGAGTCCACAATACAGGTAATAATTCTCACTATACATTCAGACAGCACTACAAAATGGCAAACTCGCTATATAGTGGACATATAGGGATTAGTGAGTAATTTCGGACACAGCCTATGTTTCCTATGGCTGATATGGCGGCCATCTTGAAATTTTGAAATTTCAAGTGGCTAATGGGATTTTCCAGAGAGATAAACATAGCAATTTTGGCGCTTGTATGAAGATGATTGAAATTATCTGCTGCACTAAGAGAGGAACCCTTTGACTGCGCCACCTCTCACACTGACACAGGGTTCATGGGGTTTGTTTGTACGCCAGGGGGCGCCACCGACGTACACGATACCATTTATATCTCTGCGTGAAATGGGAGCAGATATAGCATGTCTTCAACGGTCTTCAAGAAAGACCCATTAACTACCAACGTCAGTGAGACTGACGTGGTCATGTCAGAAAATTCCTGTCTATAAAGAAGCACATCTTGAAAACCAACACAATAACACAGGCAACAATACACCTGACTGTGTTTGGATGCATTTAGATGCAGTTACTGGTCGTAAAGTTTCTACCAAAAGCTGTGTAATTAAACAGAGCTGTAAAGCAGTGCTGACTGAACTGGGAGTCAGAGTCATATTTGCTATTTGCAGCAGGGAGGTGACCAGCAGAAGCGGCAGCTGCAGCTCACTGGAGAATAGCTCCTCTATATGAACGCCCTTCAGACCGACTAGCCTGTGAATCACATTTTCCACCTACAACACTGTTAGACTGGGCCCCTCCGAAGGAACACATGCTGCCCAACTTTTTCTTCCTCACCGACATCACTGAAACGAGTCGACGTGCCGCTGAGCAAGTCAGCCTGGAGCTACAACACAAGATCAATACAATCGATTGATCGGGAACTTTTGTTTTGAACCTGAAGACTTCCCACACTTTTTTTGTCTTTCTGATGGGAGATCATAAGCGCGCATCGGAATAATGGCCTATTCATTACCATGTCACTTTTAATCAATCAACACCAATGGAGCCGTTAAAATTAACAGAAGCAGCGTTGATCTGCTGTGATCGATGGTAGTTATTGATAAATGGTTGTTGATCATCGCGGAGTGAGAATCGATCAGCATGGATCTCCAGGTGATTGTGTGGCTCTTCTACTGCTTTCTGCTGCCCACCGCGCTGTTAACAGGTAACAACTCACACTTTTATATGTAAAATCAACTGTAACGATCAACATGTGTCACAACAAAGTTTCACGTTTGCCACCGTCTACGTTGACACGAGCTCTGAAACTCGACACGCACTGGGTGGTAACTGGTAAAGCAGCTGGAGGGAAAGCTGTAAAAACCTTACAGCACCAGCTTTAAACAGTTTTCCAGTGTTTCTGTGGCGTCTGCTTTCTGATATGAAGATGGTCTGCAGGATTTCTTAACTACACGTTTAGTTTTAAACTCAAATCTCAGCCCTGTTTGGAAAAGGTGTTGGTATCTGCTCCTGTGGTGTAACGCTGATGAGGTATGCGACAGTGCAGAGAGAGAGAGAGAGGCTGTGGAAAGAAATGAAATGAAACTGATCAGTAATCAATGATTTGGGGTTGGTTTTGTTAGCCGAATGAAAGTGTGACTCCAAACTTATTTAACAGGTGATCTATTTATTTTCTAACAAGTAAGCGCGTTAGCTGGGGAGCAAAGAAATCCTAAACTGACCGATATTTGAGTGAGGTTTGGTACGGATAAAGAGAATGTGAAACTTTACAAGTTACTTGTGAAAATGGGGGCACTGTGACCTGTCATCCTGCCAGTCTTCTTCTGTGGTGTTGTCAGCCACATCAAAATCACTAGTCAAGTCAACAACAAGATCAGTTCCACCATGCGTTTGTCTTGCCCCCCTTTGATATCTGACTGTAGCATTCCTAGTTGAATTTGTATGATGACTCCTGTAATGACTGTATTCATGAGGTAGACTTAAAGGTGCAGTCACACTGAGAACATGTCAGTAACTGACCTTGTGTGATGTTTGTTTGTTCTGAAATGAAATCCAAGAACATTTCCAGTTAAGTGGTCAATATATCATACAAATATACAATGTTTAAAAAAAAAAAAAAAAAAAAATCTTGTGACTAAATGTATTTTCTGGCCCAGCCATATTCCCCATCTGTAATTTGTAAAAGAAGTCACAGAGGCGGCCCACATTAGCCCTCAGCGCCTGATAAACCATAATACCACGTTAAATATGTTAAACTGAAAATGATGCAGTATATTTGTAGATAGCATGGTAGCCTCTATTCAAGTAGATCGTTTGCCTATAAATCAGCTACCTATCACTTGGTAGTGTGATTCCTCTGTCCTGTAGCCCCACCCCTGATTCTAATGCTGGGTTACCTCCTGTCTTGAAGAGATGTTTGTTGTGGATTCACTTGACACTTGCTAGTTTTACTCAGCAGCTTTCTCTAAAACTAGATGAGCAAGCGGGCAGTGGTAGAAGAAGAGTGATATGAAGCTGCTATAGCGAGCAGTCCTCCCCCTCTGCTTGTCTGTTCTGCTGCCAGATGTTTCTCTCTGGTCTGTTTTTACAGTTTTTACAGTTAAAAATGTGGACATTTCCGAGGACAACTCCAGCCGGGGACAGGCCACCAAAAAACGGGAACGTCTGGTCACCTTATTCTATAAATGATCAGGCCAGTCTGTCAGGAAAACACTTTCTGGGCTGCAGGGATTGTGCTACAGGTGGCCACTGGGACAGCCTGGCACTAAGACCTGCTCTGCCACAGCTTTATAGACTGGTTTCCTCTCCACAGCAGTTTTGTCCATGCTGCTCTGTGGCAAAAAAATCAGATTTTATAATAATAATAATAATAATAATAATAATGAAGTTTATTTATAAAGCACTTATCAAAATCTGAGATTACAAAGTGCTTCACAAGGATAAAATAACAAATCAAACAACAAACACGTGAACAGACTCAAGATGAAAAATACAATAAAAATAGAAAGACAAATTAACAATGTAAAAATATGTTAAATGTTTAGAATAGATTATTCAAAAGCTTTGTGACAGAAATGTGTTTTTAGAAGAAGATTCTGATTTTGTGAGTCTAAGTTCATCAGGCAGGTTGTTACAGAGCTGTGGTGTTTCTGACAGCAGAAGCTCCGCCCCCTTTAGTCTCACATCTTGACATAGGACAAGTCCCTGTCTGACCTATGACTGGTTAATATGGGGCTAGTTGTGGAAATGTTTCTGTGGAAGAAAAGATGATTACTCCTCTGTAGTGTAACCTTTCCTCCTCTGTTATAAAGACAGACAAAAATTAAGTGGTGGTTATTTCACACAGTTCTTGCTAAAAATGCAGTGCCTGCTCTGGCTGTGGGTGAGTGATTATTGTGGTGTTGAGCAATTCAATTCACTTCCACTGAAAATTAATTGCTCTATGTCATTCTCAATGTGGAAGCTATTTCATCAGCACTGTGTTCGGTCAATTTTGAATGCACTGACTGCTGTGTGTAGTTGTATGAACCACCTTCAGGGATCCAGTGGAAATATAAGTAATTTAGCACCTTTAGCTAACATGCAACATGAAATATATTTCAGTACAAACAAGGTGAAGTGAGCAAATGCTTCTGCTGCAAACGCTTCTTATATCTGGTGTGTAACTTAATAGCACTGCAGGATCCTGTGGAAATGATACATTTATTTTCTAGTGATTTGACTGGTCAGTTTGACTTCCACTGAGCTGCCGGGAGCAGGAGAGCTGTGCAGCACCGCAGCGTAGGTTACACTGTTGTACAGGCAAGCACAAAGCTAACTGCCTATCTACTAATCTCACTCTCTGATACAGGCCAAAACCTCGTAAATCAGACAGTCACACACACACACACACACACACACACACACACACACACACACACACACACACACACATAGAGCACAGTTTTCATTAAAAACACAGGCAATTTAAGCTGTTCTGGTTTTGGGTTTATCTCTACACCAATTTATGAAAAATCTTTTTCAATATGACCCAATAATTCTGTAGGCGGCATGTGGGTGTGGGAGAGAGAGAGGGAGAGAGAGAGAGAGAGAATGAGAGTGTGTGTGTGTCTCCTGACAGGATGTCACTAGCCAGAACTTGCAGTGTTTCTGTCAAGAGTTCACATGAGTTTCTACTGAGTCAAAGGAAGTGAAAGATGCCAGTAAGATATTGCCACACACACGCACACACACACACGCACACACACACACACACACATGCACACACACACACACACACACACACGCACACACACACACACACACACACACACACACACACACACACACACACATAACCGGCTGCAAGCTGGTGAAGTAGTCCTATAAAGTTAATAAATAAAAATTCAAAGTAAGTAGTCCCATAATGCACTGCAGTTTTGGATTTGATCATAGACTAAATAAAGATGGCCGTAGCCTCTGTGACGTCACCCACAGGTTTCTGAAGAGCAATATTTGTGTGAGTTATATAAACAGGTGTCATGAAGGAGGAAAATAGCTACAGAGACCAAAACTGTTCTTGTACCAGGCTGTAAACATGTTTATTTCTGCTGTAAAGTTGGACATTTAACATGGGAGTATATGGAGACAGACTCTAGTGGCCATTAGAAGAATTGTAGCTTTTGGTTCTTCATCGTTGGCTTAATTTTTCGGCCTGGAGGTTGATACTTGGATTAGTGTAAAGACTTTTTTAAACTAGTGTTCATGATACTCTGTCTTACAGTTCATAAACCTGAATATTACACTTGAATGAGATTACATGAGGCAAATCCATTCATCTATTTTCTATACCTGCTCATCCCATTGTGTTTTGCGGCTGGAATGTATCCCAGCATGCTTTTGCATATGTTTCACTCCCTAAAGCGCGTACCCATCAGTGGTTGTGTCACCTTACCTGCTTTGCATGTGACCAGATAACTGTGACCCAGCTGAAAGTCTCATCTACCAGACTTCTAAAGGTATGACAACAGCATCATCACGTAGGGCATATTCTTCAAAGTGGTGAATGAGTGGATGAACAAAAGACAACTCATCCAAATGTTTGTCATATGGGAGGTGGCACAGTGAGCTTGGGAGACATTGAGGTGGTTTTGGCCCAGGGCCATAGATTTAGTTTCAGAAGTGACAGGGACACAGGGAAGTCAGAGGAGCTTTAGTAGTTAGTTTCATAGGTATCAGTAAATATGGTCACATCTCTCCTTCCTCAGTTACATTGTTGAATAATGACCAGAAGCGTATTTGCTGAACATTATGATGTCACAGTGAAGTTGATCTTTGACCTTTTGGATATAAAATGTCATCACTTAGTTTTATCTTTATAGCCAATTGAATTAAATTGTGTCATAGTTAGTGAAAGAATTTTCGAGTTATGACCAAAAACATGTTTTGTGAGATCACAGTGTGACAGAAGTAATGACAGAAATTCCCCTTCCCCTCACTCTAACCTAATCTAAACCTAATCCAAACTTCGTCATCTTCAAACAGGCCTTTGAAGTTGTGACGACTGGTCTTTTCATAAGGACTGTTACTCAAACTGGTCCTAGATAGATGTAATACACACACACACACACACACACACACACACACACACACACACACACGTGCACAAACACACACATACACCCACACACACACACACACACACACACACACACACACACACACACACACACACACACACACACATGTTCAGTAGGGCTGATGTCTGGTTGTGTGACTGCATGTGTTGCTTCTTTAATGGACTCACAGACAAGAGACAGAGACATGCTTCAAATACTTCCTCAACTGGTCCTAGATAGATGTAATACACACACACACACACACACACACACACACACACACACACACTGCATGTGTTGCTTCTTTAATGGACTCACAGACAGGAGACAGAGACATGCTTCAAATACTTCCTCAACATTAGACGATCTTTGTTGTCATGGTTACATGACAACGTTGTTAACTTGGTCATGGATAATAGAAACAACATAAACAGCTACTTTCACATGGGAATGGAACAGCGCTCTCCTGTGTCATATTCATCCATCCACCACAACCTCCTCCTGACGTGGACTTTGTCTCTCTTTATACTACGTCACCGCACTTTTCTCCTTGCTCCGGTCATCATTACTACAACCACTAGATGTTGCCTAGCAACAAAACGTAACC